GAAGTCGAGGTGGATCGGCGTGGGCAATCACGGAGATGGATGGGCGTGGCGTTACACGGAGCTGGGATAAGGAGGGCAAGCGAGAGGGGCGAGGCTGGCAAGGAACCAGGGAGCAGTCAGAATCGAGAAGGCTGCTCGAACGCAGAAGGGCGATGGGAGCATGAGCAGCGGGGAACGCAAAGGGAAGGCGGAAAGGTTGAGGTTGGCGCATCGGCAGGCCTCGAGGTAGAACAGCTTCATGTCGACGCGGTACCTCCCCACCGCCGTCTGTGATTCAATCACACCAGCTCCCACCAGCCCTTTCGGGCGTCGGTGGTATGAGGAAGTGGTGATTATTTCTTCCACGGCGGGGAGGGGTTTATCCCCCCCCCCCTACCCTCTCTTCAGGGTGTGGACTGGGTGGAGCGCGAGGGGTTAGAGCGTACAGGATGCCCCAAGATGGCTGCAAGAGGACACCGGACAGCTCAAGATGGACTCCATGATGGCCCCAGATAGCCCAAGGTGGGCCCACTTTACCCTTCAACATGCCGCCAAGGGGCCACGAGTTCCAAGACCGCTCCAGGAGGCCACAGAGCGCCCCAAGTCGTTTGCGATGGGCCTCCGGGGGCTCAATAAGATAACCCTAAGAACGCCCACGAAAGTCCAACTATGGGCAACGCAAACTCACGCCGCCCACTTTTTCGCCGGATGGCCTCCACGATGGCCCCAAGAGAACTCGAGATGACCCCCAAGAGGGCCCCAAGATGGGCCCCAAGAAGACCCCCAAGAAGACCCCAAGAGGATCTCCACAGCTCCCAAAACGGCGGCAAGAGAGCTTGAGATGGTTCCAAGAGGCGTTCAAGGAGGGTCAAGTAGGTTTCGACACTCACTACAATCTAAAACATGGCCATCACAATCATGATTTAAGAAATATGGACCAACTTCCCAAAGAGTCGTCAAGCAAGCCTGGGCCAACTTCTGCTCTTAACGCTGGAGGGGCGGACTCGCTCAAGAAACTGGACCAGTTTTCCGGCAAGTTGGTTAAGAAAGGCTGACCCAGTTTTTCGGAGGGCGGGGGATTCTGGGTGGCGGTCTGGGGCCCGTGCCTCCGCAGCATTTTGCGCTCTTGCCTCGGCGCCGAGCACAATTGTTTTCAAACCTAACTTTGTCGCCTCGGCGCCGAGCACATGTTTGGCAGCATCTGAATGGCGATTGGAACATCGTTGGGACTGCGGAGGTCGGCAGGGCCTGCGCGCAGCGTCCGCCATCTCCGTCAGGATGGGCAGGGCTTGCGCGCGGCTTCTGCCGTCTTGAAGGATTCCTTAATACATATCCCTTAGCCGCGATTCCTTAGTAAGGATTCCTCAACAAACATTCCTTACGAAGATTTCCGTAATACCAAGTCCTTCGCAAACATTCCATAATGAAGAACCCTTAGGAAAGGTCCCGTAATCGAGAGTCCTGAATACATATTCCTTAGCCAAGATTCATCAACTGACATTCCTTCGCAATGATTCCTCACTGAGGTTTCCTTAGTAAGGATTCCTTAGTCCAAAGTCCGCACTACGGGTTCCTCACTAAGGATAATTCAAAAAGGATTCCTTCATACATATTCCTTAACAAAGGATCCTTCTTGCACATTCCTTAGTACATACTCCTTACTCGAGATTTCATAATAAGGATTCCTTAGCGAGGACTCCTGAGTTCGGATTCCTTAATTTATGCTGCTTCCTTGATGAGTCCTTAGTAATGTGCTTCAGACATAAAGATTCCTTGGTACATACTCCTGGGCAAGGATTCCATGATACATATTCTTTACTACGGAGCCCTTGGTAAGGATTCCATCGCATGGGTTCCTTGCTAAAGTGTCCACACTATGGGTCCCTGGGTAAGGGATTCCCGAGGAAGGGTTCCTTCGTAAGGATATGTCAAGCAAGACTCCTGCACACATCTTCCTTACGGAAGAGTCCTTATCCCATATTCTCCCAGCAATATTCCGTACTACAGACTCCTTGTGACCAAATTACGCATTACATATGCTCAATGACATTTCGTTTGTCCATATTCCTCACTACAGACTCATTAGTAGCGAACTGATTAAGGATTCCTGATTGGCAATTCCTTACTACGGATTCCTAGCCCTGAGCAAGGATTCTTTAATAACGATTCCTTCATAAAGACCTCTTACCAAGGATTCCTTGGTACATCTCTTTCAGTACATATTCCTTACCAGGGACGACTGAATACACATTCCCGACTCGGGGTTTCCTCAGCAACGATCCCCTACCAAGAATTCCTCAACACATGTTCGGAAATCCGCACTCTTTACTCGCGATTCCTGAATAAGGATTCCTCACGAAAGATTCGTCGCGAAGGATTATGTTGAACAGATTCCTTACCCAGGATTCGTTAGAAAAGAACGATTCCTTACAACACATCCCCTACCCAAAAAATATGGACGAATGATTCCTGAGCAAGGTTCTTCAGTCAGGATTCCTCCGTAATGTTTCGTCAATCAGGATTCCTTAGTGGTGGTTCCTTAGTATGGATTATTCAATGCCAAGCATTGTCGACCGATGCCAGGCAATGGCAAGAGCAGGACACCTCATTGCCAAACACCGAAACACCGCCAAACCACGACCACCCAATGCAAAGCAATGCCAAACACGACCAACCAATCCCAATCACCTCAAAATAATGCCAACCAGTGCCAAGCATGACCACAACCCCAAGAAACGCTAAACACGACCAATCAATGCCAAGCACGACCAACCAATGCCAAGCGTTACCTACTAATGCCAGGCCGCGGCAAGATCAGGACCATTCATTGCCAAGCACCGCCAAACATGATCAACCAATGCCATGCAATGCCAAGCAAGACCGTTCAATGCCATGCCCGACCAAGCAACGCCAAGCGTAACCAACCAATGCCACGCAATGCTAAGTACGATTGGTCAATGTCGCACACGACGAAGCAATGCCAAACAATGCTAAGGTCGACCATTCAATGCCACGCACAACCGCGCAATTCTGAGCAATGCCAAGCACGAGTAACCAATGCGAAGCAAAGCCGAGCACGACCATTCATTGCCAAACACAACCATGCAACGCCAAGCACAACTTGGCGCTATGATCGCCACGACGACAGTGCCGCCGATGAGGAAAAACGATGGTGGGCAAGGGGCGTGGGCGGAGGTGAGCGAAGGAGGAGGAAAGGTAGCGCGGGTCAGGGCAGCCCACCCCCTCGAGGTGCCATCGTGGCGGTGGGACGGGGGGTGGTGGCCGGTGGCCGGGGGCGGTGGCGGGGGCGGGGGTCGGAAGGGTGGGGGTATTTGGGGGGCGCTTCTTCGGGAGGGGGGGGGGGGAAACAAAAAAAAGGGAGTCTGGCCGATTTTTTTTTGCCCCCCCCCAGGCGGCGCCGCGGGCGGTAGGGGGGGCGTTTTGGTCGCTCGCCCTCTCCTCCCTCTCACGCTCCCTCCCTCTCTCCTCCCCCCTACCGCGCTGTTCCCGCGCCTTGTTCTTCCTCCCTTTCTCTCTCACTCTTTCTCTCTCTCTCTCTCTCTTTCTCTCTCTCTCTCTCTCTCTCTCTCCCTCTCTCTCCGACCCTCCCTCCCTCCCGCTCTCTCTCTCTTTCTCTCTCTCTCTCTCTCTCTCTCTCTCTTTTCTCTTTTGTGTTGTTGTTCCCTACGTAGGCTCTGCCTAGAAGGGTTCTTACTCTGTTAGCTAAAAGGACCGGGCAATGGAAACCGCCCCGGGCGGTTCCCCCAGTCCCCGCCCCGCGGTTCCCCCAGTCCCCTGGGAGCTTTAGCTTTAGCTTTAGCTTTAGCTTTAGCTTTGGCTTTAGCTTTAGCTTTAGCTTAGCTTTAGCTTAGCTTTATCTTAGCTTCAGCTTAGCTTCAGCTTAGCGTTACCTTGCGTTACCCTAGCGTTAGCTTATGCATCATCTTTTTTCCAGTATCTGCTTGAGGAACGGAGCCTGGCACAGGACAGCTTTGGCAGGCGGCAAAGGCCTGCGGCAAAAGAGAATTCTGGAGGCAACGGGCTGGCATTGGGGGCCAGAAAGACTATGGAGCAGGGATGAAACGGAACTGTGCGATGCAAACTCGTTAAACAACGTACATGCATCATCTTTTTTCCAGTATCTGCTTGAGGAACGGAGCCTGGCACAGGACAGCTTTGGCAGGCGGCAAAGGCCCATCTACAAAAAGCACAGTACCCATTAGCAAGCACTGCACTGGCTTAGCCGTGAATCAACATCCATTTTCGGGAGACCATCCTGGCGACAATTGTCTGCGAGAACATTCGAGCAAGCTGCCTGCAGATGGCGTCGGGATAGACGGCCTTCTGGTGAGTGCGGAAGTGAGTAGCACCGCCTTCCTTTCCAGACAGCTCAAGATGAGGCTGGCCAGAAAATTCACACACACCACGGCCATGACATTTCATAGACAAGAAAGAAGGGGAGGGACGACAATGCAAGAATTGGAACTTAGTGCGGGCTCGAAAGGGCCGACCTGCCGCACATTGGTCAACAATAGCTTCGAAAAAGAAAGGAGAGTGATGGCGGCGAGTTCTGTCTGGAAAATGCCAAAGCCAACTGCTGCAGGGATTTTCTTCGCCGACAGGAATGTTGAACTTTGAAGCTAGCTGCCAGATCTGCCCGGCACGTGAGGCGAGCAGGTTGCCAAGCTCCAGCTTGGCCTGATCGGGAGCAGCCAAATTTGGCAAGCCAAAGATGTGAGAGCCGTCACGAAGGCGCCGAGGCATGCGAGAAGTGGGGCCGCCTCGTCGCGCTTGAGAAAACGATTCGCAAGGCGTGCCCATGAAAATAGCCTTGACCTTGCCGCTGGCAATCCAGCCGCGAAGCACAGCCCACGGCGCAGGCCGGGTAAGATCAAACTCTTGCCCATGCAGGACATCCCATTCAATGACTGCATGCCCTGCCTGTGGCAGGTGTCGCGCCAGGTTGCCAGAGCCACTAAAGAGTTCAATGAAGACGCGAGAATCATGACCTTTGCTACTCATCACCGCTGAAGCGAGTACAGCTTGCAGGCGGCGTCGAGTCCAGCAGCCAACCGTTCGATCTCCTGGCGCTGGGGGGCGGGAATCTTCATCCACTCGATCGCCACTCGCCCGTGCTTGTCGTAGCGCCGCACGCTGTTGAAGGCGCGCCAGTTTCCTCGTTGCTGCACCTCCATTAGCGTGCGGCTGGCCGTCAGGCGGTCGTGGCTGGCGCCGCCGTGCCTGAGGCTGTAGAGCGTGCCTGCTAAACAGCTGGCTCCCACAGCCGCGAGCGCCTGGCCAAACCGCCGCTGGAGGAGGTTGTAGTCGAAGTACCACAGCGGGTGCCAGGAGCCCAGGCGGGAGTCGCGCAGGCGCGCCAAGGCCCAAGCCAGGGCCTGCTGGCGCGGGAGGTCGAGCACAACGGTATGGTCCATCTCGCCTGTCTTGCCCGGTTGCTGCAACTCTGCAGCATGCACCACCACCGACATGTGTGAGCCCGCGTTGGTGGCCGAGCCGAACGGGCCCGTGAGCTGGGCGGCCCGCAGCGCCAGCGCCTCCGAGGGTCTCAGGTAGCCCTCGAACATCAGCATGACGCACAAGGCGGTCGCAAACTCGCCCTGGTGCCCAAGCCAAGCTGCCGCTGCGCGAACCACAAGCTCTGGAAGAGGCGGACGAGAGCCTGGTGGATGCAGGCGCTTCCAGCCCGCCAGCGAGTGCGCGAGCTGCGGGAAGCACCTCTGCAAGGCCGCCGCGTGGAGCTGCGGGAGCCCCCACAGCACCGCGGCGCCAAGCCTTGCAGCCGTCGCCCGCGCCACTCCCTGGTCGAAGGCCCACAGCAGGAAGTCGGCCAGCGCTGCGTCCCAGGCCGCCACAGGCCAGTCGGGCAGAGCGTCCACCATGAGCCAGCCTGCCAGCAGCCGCAACACCTCCAGGTAGAGCACCTGAGTGGACGGCCGCACCTTGTTGGCTGCCAGAAAGCCCTGGCGGGGCAGCAAGCGGGCCCGCTCCTGGGCGGAAGGCGGCGGCAGCTGCGCTCTGATCCTTGCGGATTCGCCACCACCAACGGCTCGCTTCCGGGTCGGCGAAGCGCCTCCCACCTCTGGCAGACTTGGCTGGCCGAACGGCGGCGCTGCCTGGAGCGTGCGGACCTCCTGCATGGCCACAGCTGCCGTGACGCCTGAACTGGTCCCTCTGCTTGGGCCAAGACGGCTCCGGACCAGACTGGAACCGTCTTGACGGGCCATCCGCAGGGTTTAGCTCTGAGGGGATCCATCTGAACGTGACCTTGAGATTGCAGGCGACCGATATGGCGTAGGAACAACGGCAGCCGGACAAGAGACCAAAGTCGGATGCACGGCCCTTTTCATGGGCGCAAATCATCGACATGTTGTCGCCCAGGCCCAGCAAGCGATGCCCGTGGCATCTCGAATTGCGAGAGGCGCGCCGCAGCCAGAGAAGCCCTGCTGAGCTCTCCAGCCTGTGGATAGTACTTTGACGCCTCCATCTGCATGCAACAGCCGTGATCCAGGTCGCCTCGCGCAGCAGCTCTGCGCTCACCTCGGCGAAACCCGCCGCGCGGCCGAGCAGGAGCGCGGCGGGGTCAGAGAGCTCGATGCTGTCAGCGGCCAGGGCAGCGTCCCGCGGAGCCACCAATGAGGCGAGGGGCCCGCGGAAACGCAGCCTCTCCGGCTGCCTGCCTGCGGCCTGCACCGCGCTCAAAGGCCAGCGCGCAGCACAGACTCCCGCGCCCCAAGGCGACGCGTCAAAGGCACCTACCTCAGCGTGCCAAGGCCTCTTCATGTCGGCGAACACCGTGGGCAACAACGCAAGCACCCACCTGAGTTCACGTCGGCAACTGGGCCACAGCGGCTGCGCCCTGTCGTAGGTCGACCGGATGAAGACGTAGACGGCGCTGAGGAGGCTGAGAGCCTCACGCCGCAGCAGCAGCAGCGCGACCACGTGGCCCACAAGCCTCTCCAACTGGCGCCCAGTGATACGCCTTCCTGGCTCCAGCAAGTGTGAGATGCAGCCATGCACCCTCCAAAACTTCTTGGGTGCGGGGCGCCACCTGGCGGCCTTGGAATCCAGCGTGAAGCCGAGGAGGACGACGTCCAAGTCAAGCGACGCCCTGACGCCCTCACTGGTGAACGAGCCCAGCATGTCATTGACAACCTGCAACGCTGTCTCGCGACTGGTGCTAATGGCCGCAAAATTGTCTATGTACAAGACCTTGGCTGCAGCAGAGCTGTCCGAGAGGCACGTCCCAGGCTGCTTGTCCACCAGCCACTGGTTGTTCGGAGAGATCGAAGCCAACACGTTCAGGTGGGCAGACTGCACAAAGTGGACGGCCCAGTTCCATCCCATGGGAACAACTCGCACACGGAAGGCTATCTTGGGTCGCGCCGCAAGCTCAGGCCCCAGAGCCTCACGCAGGCGGGCAGGCAGCATGCGAGTCGCCAAGCTCGGCAGGCAGAAGTAGTTCCTGGCCCATGTGGGCAGCACGTACTGGTAGAAGCACACCTCCACATCCCCAGCCGCCAAGTGCACCTCCTCGCCGGGCGTGCACTCCAAGCTGCTGAGGGCGTCGCCGGAGGCCAAGTGCGTGTAATCGGGCGTCCTGAAGTGACAGTTCGCCCTCCTGGTGTCAAAGATAAGCCTCAGCTTGTCATCTTTGCGAGGCACAAAAAAGACGCCAGTCTCCTCCTTCCGATCTAACTCATAGTCCAAAACTTCAACGATCCCTGCGTCGTACAGCTCGAGCAGAAACCGTCCGTAGTCAAAGCCCCGTTGGGCCAGCTTGCCGTCGACGTAACACGTGACGTCAGCCTCCTCCAGAGCAGCAGAAGCCTCCTGCTCCGAGCGCAATAACCCGTGCCCGGACTCCAGCGCTGACTGCAGGTGCGGTGGAAGTAGTCGAACAAGATCGACACGCCCAGCGCCGCCAGAAGGAAGGGAGACCCTCCCGCGCTGGTAGCCGGCTCTCGCCCCGATGGCTGGCTCATCAGCATAGCCAGGTCGAAGCCCCAGAAGCGCCTGAAACGCCTCCTGGTTGGTGCAATCCTCAGTCTTCGGCGGGACCGCGGCGTAGACCTCACCCAGATGCTGCAACGCGGAGCGCTGCGCCAAGCTAAGCCGCCCGCCGCTGTCAGCCAACCGACCACCCCCGCCCAGCTCGTTGAGCGCCGAGACGCCTTCCAGCATCCAGCGCTCCTGGCGCCTGCAGCGCGCGGCCTTGCGCCGCTGCCCCAGCGAAAGCTCGCCGTCGAGGGCCGAGGACCCCTTCAAGCACTGGAGCGCCTCGAAGCTGAGCGGGATGGGCAGCGCGTCCCTTTGCGCGAGACTGTCATCGCCAAAACCCAGCGAGGTGGCATCGTTCAGCACGCCTCGCCTCCCCTGCAAACTCGCGCCGAGGCCGGGGGCATCCCCGGCGCGAGGGGGCGCCTCAGGCGCCACGGCCGCGCCCGCGGCCGCGTGCCTTAGCCTCGGCACCCGCCGATGGTTCGCCAGAGGCCGCGCCGCCGTCGACGCCGCGCTCCAGCAGCCTTTCCTCTCGCCCCTTCCTGCGCTCCTTGAGGATGGCACTTTCCTCTCGGAGCTTCTCCGCCACCCAGCTCTCCAAGGCGGGGCAGACAAGCGCTGAGCCGCGGCTCCTGTCCTGCCCGAGGAAGATGGATCGCTCATCGAGCCAGGGTGCAGCGTCCTGGCCAGCCTCGGCTTCGCGCAGACTCGAGGCGTAAAGCTCCTCCCAGAGCTGGTAGCGGCGGCAGAGGATCTCCACCACCACCAGCTCGCCAGCGTTGAGCTGGTCGTAGGTGGTGAGCTCCTGCAGCACCTCGGAGATGAAGTGGTGGTCGTCCACGCCCGAGTCGGAAGCTGTGAGCCCCTGGATCGACCGCCACCAGAAATGCCTCTGCAGCGGCGTGTAGCCCGCCTCCGAGATCTTCTCAAGCAGCCAGGCAGCGGTCCTCGGCCCCTTGATGCGCCAGTCTGGGAAGGGCGTGGTGGACATCTTGGCCACGGCGTCGTGGAAGGACCTGGAGCGGCCACCAGCTGGTGAGTAGAGCACCGGCAGCGTGCGAAGGTCTCCCCCACTGCTGGAGAGCGCTGCCGTCCCTGCCTCCAGGGTGTCCGCCACTGCGACCGCCAGTGAGGCGCCTGACGCCAGCACCACGACCCCGCGGTCGCCCAGAACGACCTGCGGCTGGCCATCCGCGCCGAGGAGCTCCGGCGGGATAGGGGCCCCGGCCGTGAAGCCCCCACGCGTCTCCGCCGCGAGCCAGACCGCGTCTGCTGGCGGCGCTGCGGGCCGCGGCGGGGCTGGGGCGAGGAGAGCCCCGGCCGCGGGTGCCCTGCGCGGCGCGGCCGGCGCCGCCGCCAGGGCGCCGGCAGCGGCCGCGCCACCCACCGCTGGCCCAGCGGGCCTCGCGGCAGCCGCCAGCGCCGCAGGAGCCGGCGCCTCGGCAAGCGCCCCCGCCTCGCCGTCGGCAAGCACCCCATGGGGCGCCGCTGGGGCCGGCAAGCCCTCCTCCTCGCGGATGTCCAAGGCCAGCTGCGCCGCCTCGTCGCACAGCTGCTGCAGCTCAATGCTGAGGCGGGCGTTGTCCACCCGCAGGATGTGCCCCTGTGGCCTCGGCACGGGAAGGCCGCCCCGTGGACCCAGAGGCAGCAGGCGAAGCGCCTGGGACATGTCTTCATCATAGATGTCCCAGTCCGCGGTGAGCACCACGAAGCGGAAGTCCTGAATGTGCGCCAGCATGATCCTCTCGTGCCAGTAGTCATCGCGCGGGTCGTAGTAGGCGAGGGCCCTCGACCCCACCTGCAGACTCTGCAGGCAGCGCAGCGTGCGTTCTGCTGGGGTGCGGGCCGCCATCCAATCCTAGTCTCGGCGCGCGCGCGGCCCTCTTCCACAAGAATCCAGCGGTCGCTGCCGACAGCACACCAACGAGCAGCCCCACAATGAAGGTGCCCAGCGAGAGCGACGGCTCGGGGCACTGCAGCAGCGGACAGCTCGGGCACGCAGGGCAATTGAGCTGCTCTGGCCCGCAGCGCTCCAGCTGGCGTCCCAGCAAGTGCACGATATCGCTGCTGACCTGGCAATCCGCGGCGCAATGGCAGTCGGGACAGCGTGCAACTGAAAGGAGGGGGGCCCACGGAGCAACGGCCTGCAAGCTGCGCAGGGCCAAGTCCATGAGCCAGAAAGACTATGGAGCAGGGATGAAACGGAACTGTGCGATGCAAACTCGTTAAACAACGTACAGCGTTAGCTTAGCGTTAGCTTAGCTTTAGCTTAGCTTCAGCTTAGCTTTAGCTTAGCTTTAGCTTAGCTTAGATGTAGCTTAGCTTTAGCTTAGCTTTAGCTTGCTTCAGCTTAGCTTGAGCTTAGATTTAGCTTAGCTTCAGCTTAGCTTCCGCTTAGCTTCAGCTTAGCTTCAGCTTAGCTTCAGCTTAGCTTCAGCTTAGCTTCAGCTTAGCTTCAGCTTAGTTTCAGCTTAGCTTTAGCTTAGCTTTAGCTTAGCTCTAGCTTAGCTTTAGCTTAGATGTAGCTTAGCTTTAGCTTAGCTTCAGCTTAGCTTGAGCTTAGATTAAATTTAGCTTCAGCTTAGCTTCAGCTTAGATTTAGCTTAGCTTTAGCTTAACTTTAGCTTAGCTTCAGCTTAGATTTAGCTTAGCTTTAGCTTAGCTTTAGCTTAGCTTTAGCTTAGCTTTAGCTTAGCTTTAGCTTAGCTTCAGCTTAGTTTTAGCTTAGCTTTAGCTGAGCTTTACTGTTACTACTAATGCTGCTTTCCTAGGGGCTCCAAATACTTTTTGGTCTGCGGGCTCGCGACGCAGGTCGAAAGCCGTCCGAACACTAGCCGGGCCGCGACTAGGCAGCAAGAAAAGAGAGAGGCAAGCGAAGCGAGCGCGCGGGCAGCCACTCAGAAGGAGAGCCAGAAACGGAAACTCTCAACCCGGTGGCGTGGAAATCCCAGTGGCGACCAGCAAGTAAGCGCACCCAAGCTCGTGGGGATACTTCTTGGTCAGCGGCCGCGGGCGAGCGAGCCGGCGGCGAGTCAGGTCAAAGCGGGCTACGCAGAGACTAATTAAGCAGAGGCAGCGCGAACAGGCTACAGTTAACGCGGCAAGCCGAAGCCTCACGCGGCGGCCCAGCGGCGGGCGGGTGGCAGGAGAGACGGAAACTGAGTCGAGCTGCCAGCGTGCAAGTATGCAGGGCGTCGGAAACACCAGGAAGTCGGGCTATAAACGACGACCAAGGACAACTCCGAGAATTAAGGCCTGAGACCGAACCTCGAGCAGCTGCGTGGGTACTAGGGTGGCCGCGGCCACAGAACCGCCGGTCAAGGTGGAAAGGAGAAATGCAAAGGCATAGCCCCGGACGTCGGCGTGAGCGCGAAAATCAGGGTGGCCCAAAGGACGGTCGGCCAAAGAATGAACGCCAGGAGGCGAGCGCATTGGCAGGCTGTAGCTCCCAGGGTGACTGTGGCCAGGAGACCCCGAGGCAGCAGTACGCACGAGTGCGGGAAGCGGCATAGCCGCGACGCAGCCAAACTGGCGCGGGTCACCACGAACCAGTGCGTGAGGTGGCGTCAGGTTGACCCAACACGGGCCCGAAGGGGCAACACGCACAGGGCTGACACACCGAGTGACGACAAGCGGAAGGACACCTCGGGCAAGCACAGGCCGGAGTCCAAGGAACCAACCGCACGTGCCGGGAAGGCACTGGACAAAGCGATGCCAAGACGGCCGCTAGCCCAGAAGAGAGGAACCGCTATTTGAGCGGCAAAGCCGAGGGCCGGAGCGGTGGAGGGACGGCACCATTGTTTTTCCCAACCATCCTGTGGTGTGGGGTCCTCGTTGTGAAGAGACGGTGCCCCGCGTCTCCTCCTCCCGCTGCCCCCTCCCTCCTCCCTCCTCCCCCTCCTTGCCTCTGCTCTCGGAACACCCCTCACACGTTTCGTAGCCCCATAAGGAGCTCCACCGAAGGCCCCAGTGGTTGCTCTCGCATGCGGTTCCCCCACCCAGGGCAGCGTTTCGTGGCCCCATAGGGAGCTCCACCGAAGGCCCCAGTGGCTGCTCTCGCATGCGGTTCCCCCACCCTGCTCTCGCATGCGGTTCCCCCACCCAGGGCAGCGCTTCGTGGTCCCATTGGGAGCTCCACCGAAGGCCCCAGTGGCTGCTCTCGCATGCGGTTCCCCCACCCAGGGCAGCGTTTCGTGGCCCCACAGGGAGCTCCACCGAAGGCCCCAGTGGCTGCTCTCGCATGCGGTTCCCCCACCCAGGGCAACGTTCGAGGCGGGGGGGAGGAGGAAGAGGAGGAGGAGAAGGAGGAGGAGGAGGAGGAGGAGGAAGGAAGGAACGCAACGGTAAAGAAGGACGGATATGACGAACGAAGAAGAGAGGGGGACGAACGAGCAACAGAAAACGGCGAGACAGAAAAGCACGCAATTGCGGATGCCAAAGAAGAGTGCGACCATAGGAGTGAGCCATGCGCAGTCCCCCTCTTGTACCTGCCCAGCTATAGGCCCGACGCACGCATGGACTTGCGAGCAGGACCTGCATTGCGAACTGCTGCGGAGATGGCAGTGACCTGCATGGGCGAAGATGTCGAATAGCCCCTTCTGCTGCTGTTGCTGCTGCTGCTGCTGCTGCTGCTGCTGCTGCTGCTGCTACTTGCTGCTGGTTGCTGCTGCTTTCGTGGCCCCATTGGGAGCTCCACCGAAGGCCCCAGTGGCTGCTCTCGCATGCGGTCCCCCCACCCAGGGCAGCGTTTCGTGGCCCTATAGGGAGCTCCACCGAAGGCCCCAGTGGCTGCTCTCGCATGCGGTTCCCCCACCCAGGGCAGCGCTTCGTGGCCCCATAGAGAGATCCACCGAAGGCCCCAGTGGCTGCTCTCGCATGCGGTTCCCCCACCCAGGGCAGCGTTTCGTGGCCCCAGAAGGAGTTCCACCGAAGGCACCAGTGGCGCAGTTCTCATGCGGTTCCCCCACCCAGGGCAGCGTTTCGTGGCCCCATGGGGAGCTCCACCGAAGGCCCCACGGCGCAGTTCGCATGCGGTTCCCCCATCCAGGGCAGCGCTTCGTGGCCCCATAGGGAGCTCCACCGAAGGCCCCAGTGGCGCAGTTCGCATGCGGTTCCCCCACCCAGGGCAGCGTTTCGTGGCCCCATAGGGAGCTCCACCGAAGGCCCCAGTGGCTGCTCTCGCATGCGGTTTCCCCGCCCAGGGCAGCGTTTCGTGGCCCCATGGGGAGCTCCACCGAAGGCCCGCCCCAGTGGCGCAGTTCGCATGCGGTTCCCCCACCCAAGGCAGCGCTTCGTGGCCCCATAGGGAGCCCCACCGAAAGCGGCACCCACAACGCGTCACGAACAATTGCTTATGGTTGGGTCCTTCGCCAGGATAATCCCACCAGCCCTCTGGGCGTAGGTGGTTCCGGGAATTTCCTCCGCCACCCCTCCTTCTTCCCCTTGGGGAGGGATTTACCCCTCCCCCTAACCCCCTCCCCTGGACCTGGACGGGGGGGCCGCTGGTAGTTAGAGCGTCCAAAACGGCCTCGGCGAGGAAGCCAAACTCATCGGTTTTACTATGGTTTTGGCGCCCCATTTTGGCCTCTTGGGGGGGCAGGGCTAATTAACTCCACCCTCTCCTTTGATCGATCGCTTCCAAGATGGCCCCAAAGGGCGCCCAGGAGGCCCCAAGATGCTTCCAAGAGGCCTCCAAGAGGCCCCAAGAGGCCGCCATGAGGCCCCAAGAAGCCCCCAAGAGGCTCCAAGAGGCTCCCCGGATGGTTCCAAGAGGCCTCCAAGAGGCTCCAAGAGGCCGCCATGAAGCTCCAAGAGACCCCCAAGAGGCCCCAAGAGGCCTCCAACAGGCCCCCAAGAGCCCCCCAAGAGGATCCCAAGCGGCCTCAAGAGGCCCCCCCGAAGCACCCAAGACGCCCAAGAGCCCCCATTGACCGCCAAGAGACCCCCAAGACGCCCGAAGAGGCTTTCACAAGGCTTCCAAGAGGCATCCGAGCGGCATTCAACCATCCACCCAGCGTCATCATTCTCCTCATCCCTCCTTCGCTCGGTTCCTCGCCACCCCCTCATCTATCCATCTGGCCTCCTGTTCCGCCTCATCCTTTGCACGGATCGGCTGTCCCTCTCGTTGCTCCCCCACTTCCCTGATCTCTTCAACTTGCCTGGACATCGTTTCTGGATGGGCTGGTGGGGATACGCGAAGCGTCAAGAATCCGCCGACCCGATGCCTCTGGCCATGTCGTGGACGCACTGCTCTCCGACGCAGGCCAGGAATCTCCCCAGCATGCCCTGGGCGCATAGAACCGCGTCACTTTCCGCCCTTACTAGAGCGGCTCCTGGCTCAGAGCTTGCCCGGCCCCTGTGCGCGAGCACCTCTGCTAGGGGGGGTGACATTCTTGGGCGGGCTGGGCCTGGGAGGGAGTCCACGGCCGCCCGTTTTCTTGGAGGCAGGGCTGCACTGGAGGGCTGGCTGGCGTCGATCCCCAGGTCCACTGGCGTCGGGGCGCGGGCGGGGGTTGCATCCAGCTTGGCGAGGTGCACTGGGCCGTGCGCCAGCTGCAGGGATACCCTGGCCTGCGGACGGTCGGCGCCTCGATTGGCGGCTCTCAGGTCGGCTTCGGCGGGTAGCGCAATGGTGACCCACATGGGGTTTGAGGTGTATAGGTGGCCACTTTCTCCGCTGGTGGTGATGCATACCGCCCCTCCCGCAGCCATCGCCGCGGTGAGGTGCTCCGCTGGGTGGAGCATGGTGCTGTAGTCTCGCAGGCCCTCCCTATCCTCCGAGGGTCTGCGGCAGGTCGC